GTTAGATGACCGTGGAGAGGCTAAGGTAAATAAACAAGTAGTTGTTAATTTTTCTATTGGGAGTTATAAGGACGAGGCATTGTGTGATGTGGTGCCTATGGATGTGGGTCATGTTTTGTTGGGTAGGCCATGGCAATATGATCGAAGGGTTAGGCATGATGGGTTTAGAAATTGGTATAGCTTTGAAATGGGTGGAAAATCTATTACGCTTGTACCAATGACACCGCAACAAGTGTATGATGATCAAGTGAGGTTGAGAGGTGAGAATGTGAGAAAAAATAAAGATAAACAAAATGAGAGCTCGAGAGAAAATGGAGAGGTGGCTAGGAGTGATAAAAATCGAGTGAGGCCACAAGAAAGAAAAGAATGAGCGCTTGAGCGGAGAGAAAATTATAAAGCAAGTTTCTTCGCCAAAAAAAGGTGAGTCTGAGCGAGAGTTGGAGAGGTCTAACACATCCCTCCCTATTTTGTATAACTCTTTGATGTAGGACTATGAGACGTTGATGCATTCGGATTTTTGTAAAGGATAACACCTTTTGAATATCCGATCGATGCATATCATTTGGAGAGCATCATGAACTTCGACGACGGGACTATCTTTCATGGCATTACGAGGTTCAAATATATCAATCAAGGAGTGGACAAGAGCCAAGTATTTGAACCAACTGCAGATTCAGGTCCAATCCTCTTGAAGAGGGAGGGGATGATGTGATACGGGTTTCTGTAGGACTATGAGACGTTGATGCATTCGGATTTTTGTAAAGGATAACACCTTTTGAATATCCGATCGATGCATATCATTTGGAGAGCATCATGAACTTCGACGACGGGACTATCTTTCATGGCATTACGAGGTTCAAATATATCAATCAAGGAGTGGACAAGAGCCAAGTATTTGAACCAACTGCAGATTCAGGTCCAATCCTCTTGAAGAGGGAGGGGATGATGTGATACGGGTTTCGCCAAAACGAACCAAAGCATTGGAGTTTGATTGGAAGAAACCTAAACCAAGTTTGGGTCTTCGGGAAGCTAATACGAGTGGCACAATTGATGGATCAAGGCACGACACATACAATGCTGAAGTCCATGAGCTAAGTGACAACTTTCGTATTGGGGTCAAAGTCTGGAAACCTATGAAAAAATGTGATTCAAGCAGTCGAGGGGATCAAACCATAACTCCATGCGATCGCACCATGTCGTAGGCATGCGGTCGCACAGGTGGCTACCGAAACTCGAGAGGCGGCAACATCTTCAACCATGCAACCGCACCAAGTTATACATGCGGTCGCATGGGCAAAACTGAAGACCCGAATTTCCAATTTTTGAGAGAATTTTAATTTGATTCAATTTCTTATTTTTGGCAAGTTTCATTATTTTAGGACTCTAGAATTTCATTTCAAACAAAGTCCAAATAGAATTCCTAATTGGTATGCAAACGGAGTTTTAATTAAAATTAAATTCCAATTAGTCCATGTGTAGTCCAAGAACTTCCATTACAAGTACAATTAAGTTTATAACTTTTATATTTTTTTAGTAGATTGTGACAAAAGCTTTTAAAATATATGATTGAAAAGTTGTACGACCCATAAAAGATATTATTAATATTGATTGTTTGACTTTGAATTAGATTAAAATCAGATTTTAATCCGTATCAAATGGGTTCTCAATACTTTATAGAGCTACCACAGGGATATGATTGAATTTATAGTATTCAAACTCCAATTACTAGACAAATCTAGTTGAGTTAACTCAAGACCATCTAATCTAATATTAATCCCTACTTTTTCCACTAAATACATAATATTACACTTTCAAAATACATAAGATCACAAATACCAATAAATTTATAATACTTTTCATTTACGTGTCGTATATCATTTTATACCCGTGCAATTTGATAGGCTTGGGCCCTTGCTCCACCCCAAGACATGTGGCAGATGCCCATCACAACAATCGTATGGTTATGCCACGGTCGATTCACCAAAATATGGCACATCCTTAGGTATAACATGACCCCCATAGAAAAATCTTGATTGTTCGAACCATTAGATAAATTAGTTAAAACAAGTTTGCTGACAACTACCTGCGTACATTTTTAGCAAAGCCAATTTGTGCAATTTGGGGTGTTTTCAGCTACAGGCTCGCGCTTAACGACCGCATTCTCGGCTACAAGCTACTTGAATCCGCAATAAAATTGTCAGAAAGTGCACCAACAGTCCACATCCACTCCAACTTCGCCGCCGTTAAGAACCTTGTTGTGGGCAGTCAACTCTCTACACTCAAAGTACCTTTACTGCATTCTCCATCAACAATGGCAGCCACATTGTCCAGAGTGCTATGTGTTGCTCGCAATCAGCTACCAGCCCTCTATGCCAACTATTGTTCCAATCAAGTAAGCCTCCGACATTGTGATTCGTACAAATAAATTAAGGACATCAATCTTAAATTCGTCAGTATGATCGTTGGATTCCATAATCAATGCTTGCCAACAATTGAAATATTTTTGTTGAATATTAATTTATTGATCGAGCTCACTCACTTCTTCAGAGCATGTGATAAAGTAAACAAGAATAATTGCAGGGTAAAAATGCATTACTCAAGTGTTACATTAATTCAGCCCATCTTTCTCATGGAACATGCATTTGAACTTTGACATTGTGGCTAATAACCTCACTTGAACTCCAAAATTTACTCTATGCTGCTCAACTCGACCAAGAATGTCTCTCATCCATCTCACTAGAATGTTCAAATATAAACCATCAACATGGAATAGATGTGTTAATTTAAAGAAGATTTAGAATAAGAATAAGACAAATAAATAAATAAATAAATAAAAATAATTGCACAAATAGACAAAAATTAATGACCTTTAGTGCAATTAAAATGTGACAAGAAGAAAACTATGGTGACAATATAACCATTCATAGTGTTTTAGTGGTTGAATTAATCTATTTGTACAATATTTTTGTTCAACATCGTTGACGAGGTTGGTTGTGACAAAAAAGGTGTTGGTTAAAAAGATGAATTGTTTTTTAAACTGTCCAATAACAATATGCCACATATTGTCAATAATATTGTCAAAATTATTATACATCAAGCATTACTCTTAGTTGTTTTCATCATGAGCACATGGCAATTACAATATGACAATTATTGCAATGTTGTCCTCTATCTTTCTTAATTATTTCAACCTCAATGTTTTGTTAATTAGCACGGTTTGTCCCCAAAGATAATTTCATAAAAAATGTCCATTTCATTCTCTCTCCTTTTTATACACACTACTAATTTTTTGCCCGTGCAACATACGGGCTATGTCATTTTTTAGGTAATATTAATATGTCAAAATATCTATTTATTTCTCTTAATAAATCTATAAATTTGATTAATTGTTGTGTAAAGGAATGGAGAAAAGAAGTATATATTTTTTATAGATATTACGTAAAAGAATGGAGAAAAGTAGGAAAAATAGTATAATAATTTATAACCCATATAAATTATAAAGTGATAATAATTTTATTAGAAATTTTTACGTCCAAAAAGAAAAATAATTGACGTCATACACATAATTTTTTCTTACACATAATTTTTTTGATGAAAATGATATAAATTATATTGAGAAAATTATCGCGACAAAATAATAAATATTAATAAAATAATTGATTTTTTTAAAGAAAAAATAAGAGTTATACGCAATTTATAAGATACATTTGATATACGTTTAACTATTTTCGATATTCACTTAAATCATTCGATGTGTCTTCATAGTTCTCGAAATGAGTTTCAAGATAATATCGAAGATTTATGTATTCGACTGCTGTACAATCGTTGATGAATTTATAAAGTTAGCTTAGTATCGAAATCCTTAATTTTTTAAATGATATATCTTTTGACATTAAAAAAATTTAAAAGTTTATTAGGAAAATTTCTAAATAACGTTAAAAATTATTGTCGCAAAAAAATAATAAACATTAATAAAATAATTAATTTTTCTTAAGAAAAAAGACAAGCTATACACATTTTTTAACACACGCATTCGATGTATGTTTAATTATTTTCGATATTCATTTAGATAATTCGATTTGTTTATGATATAATTCTTGAAATAAATTTCAAGAAAATATAAAAGATTTATGATAGATATTTATAAAAAAAAAAAAACTAAATATGAAAAAAATTGACAAAAAAAAAGGAAAAATAATTGGGAAAAAAAAACCAAAGAGCAACTCCACGAAGCACGAAGCAATTTTGCTCCTAAGTGCTAGGGGCAATTTTTTTTTTTTTTTTGTCAATTTTTTTCCAGTGGGTGTTACATAATATTTTTTTTAAAAAAATGATGTAAATTATATTGAGAAAATTGTCGCGAAAAAATAATAAATATTAATAAAATAATTGATTTTTTTTAAAAGACGAGTTATACGTATTTTTAACAAACACGTTTGATGCATTTTTTTAACAATAATTGTGTTTGTTAAAAATACGTATAACTCATCTTTTAAAAAAAATTAATTATTTTATTAATATTTATTATTTTTTCGCGACAATTTTCGCAATATAATTTACATTATTTTCTTAAAAAAAATATCATGTGGTATGACATCAACTACTTTTTTTTTTTTTTTGGACGTAAAACTCAAAATACGACCTGAATGAACAGTAATTGACATATTGCTTCTTTTATCATAGTAGCGATGATAGACAATAGAATAGAAATAGAAATAGAGAGTAGAGAATGAATATGAAGTTACATTAAAATACTTGTTTAAGTTAATAATGGAAAGCAATAAAGCAGTCGCATTAATTTTATTTTTGTAGACGAACAGTAGAAATAATTAAAGCCTATTTTCAGTGAAAATAATACTGAACGAGTTTAACTACAATAGAAAATCAGTTTAGTCTAAAAATTCTACTTCAAGATGAATAGTAATATTGACATCCTCTCTTAAAGGACAAAAAAAAAGAGAGATAAAAAAGAAAAAGTAGGAAAAGACGAAATCAGCTTAGGAACAGATCAGTCAACCAAATGTGAAAAAGGAGAGTTACAAGAATCAACAGTAAACTCCAAAGCGGAGAAGGTAGGATAAACCATCTTCCACCTTGTGCTAATTAATCAAACGTTGATGTTCAGATTGCTAAAAATAGTGTTTGGGAGTAAGATTGCAACAAGGGTCAAAGGTAAGGATCGGTGCCTGTAATTTACCAAAAATTTAAATGCTAGCACTGCCATTTTCGTCCGCCATCGAGTTCTCCACCCTCAGGCCGCCTATCCCCACCGAGCTGACCACTGGTACGTACCTCTCTCTCTCTCTAAATACATAAAAAATTTATATTTCCGTATAGGCGTCTCTGTTCTATTTAAAACAAATTCAGCTTAGCATAATTGCAAATAATATGTAATTGAAATGGGTGCTTGTGAGAAACTGAATTTTCCTTATTAGGGTATTCTTCTGATAAAAAATTAAGAAGTAGAATAACCTATTTACGCCATATGTAACGCGAATTCCAATTGGCTGTGGTGGATGTTGCTAATTCTGTAATGCTAGATTCTTGTCCCATTTGAAACTAATTTTATGGTAACTGATACTGTTCCCGGTTCCTGTATTATGAACTACTACTAATCGCTGAATGAATTTAGTCTACTAATTAAGGTCACGATAGATAAAATATAGATACCTACATTTTCGTTAATAAATAAATGAAAATGTAAAGGGGCTAGTATGATAATTATACTTAATTTTTTAACAATAATTTTCTGTTGGGTTATGTTTCTTCATTACCTGCTTCTTTTGTTAAGGACTTTAAATAGATTTCTTTAGATTTCTTCCTTCTGTTTCCTGTTGTCTAGCCTAGTTGGTGTTGACTGATGTTTGCCGTAAAATTTGTGGCATTTTCTCTTCTCTCTCTCCTTTTTTTTTTTTTTTTTTACATTAGCAATACCGATGGACAAAATAAATCAACCAAGTATGGATGTTACGGACATAGAACAAAGAGAGATGGATGGTACTGCTGCCAAAGTGGATGATTTCAAGGGTAGAGTGGATGAGATAATCACAAAAGTTGACAGAGTAAGCACTTCCTTGTATTCACGTTGGGTCTTTGAAGATCTGGCGTTTGAAATCATCTAATAAATGTCATTGTTATATTGGTGATTCCTTGGTTGTGCATGCATAGCCTGTTGCATGTTGCAACTTTCATTTGATGGTATTTCCAGAACTTAATTGAAAGCATTATGATTTCTTTTCAACTTGCAGCTTGAGCATAGAGTGAGTGAAGTTGAGCAATTTTACTCAACTACTGAAATAAAGCAACCAAGCACGTCTAGAAATGCCCCAATTTTGATCGATAAAGATAAGGAGAAACATGTTCCCAGTATGAAGAAGCTACAACAGGATGCATCACGCAGAGAGGCTGCTGCTGCAAAGAGAATGCAAGAGCTAATGCGCCAGTTTGGTACTATATTTCGTCAGGCAGGTCATCAACTTAAGCTGCTTGGTTAAACAATATCCTCTGAAGTGTATTGTACAACTGTTATCTAGAAAAGGAATTCCTAAATAATACCATGTGAGCATGTTTGGGTTTTTTGTTACAGTTTGTTGAAAACATTTTATTGAGATCTCTTAATATAAGAGCTGACTAGTTAACTCCAGTGCCATTAAACTGGAAGTAGTAATGCTTTAAAAGCTCAAAGGAACACTTGTTTACTTGGCCTCAAGAGTGATTTCGTGAATCTTGAATAATTAGAAACTACATGAGTTGACTCTTAGACCTACTCCTAGGTGGTGTCTCTAGTAGTATGTATTGAAGCCCCAGGATGATCTCGGTTAAATGATTTCATAAGCCATTGTCTTTCGTCTATGCTGGTGGAAATTGGAATATAGTTTTTTCACTCAAGATATTCACTAATGTTTTGTTATTTATGTAGATTACATGTTCCCCAGGATGATCTCGGTTAAATGATTTCATAAGCCATTGTCTTTTGTCTATGCTGATGGAAATTGGAATATAGTTTTTCCACTCAAGATATTCGCTGATGTTTTGTTATTTATGTAGATTACATGTTCTTTCCTCAGATTTTTTTTTTTGGGAGGGGGGCAGGTTTGGGATTCTAAAGAATTAGAGGTTCAAGTGATATCTTCTTCGGTGATGTAAAATAACCATGCTGCTCTTTGATGCTTGAATGACCAAAATCGCTGACTTTCTTCATTTTAATGTCACTATCTAGTAGGTTTAGTAATAACACTGTAACAGTGAATTAATATAATAGTGGAGTTTAGAACTTCAGTTACATAATTTTGTACATCGAGGGATCCTCAGCAAATGACTGAACTTGCCATAAATAGGTGCACATAGTTTTTTAAGGTCCTGAGTCTCTGATTTTAGTCTTCCAACTTGATTCATTCTTAGATGCTGATATTTCTTTAAAAGCATATCATCATGGTAATTTACAAATTACAGGCACGCATCTTTTGATATTCTTATTTCATATTTTGTATTCTTTCATTGCCACTATACCTTGTCTTAATTTCCTTTTTGGTTGCAGCAAGATTTCCTCTATTTCTGTGAAATTCTTGAACGCTACCTTCTACATTACAGTTGATCATTGAACTGGGCCCCCCCCCGGGGGGGGGGTGTTGAAATAGTGTATTTTTTCCACTCACTCCTGTTTCTCTCAGAGACTCGATTCTTGGTCATGGTCAGGTGTTGGCACTGGTAAATTCTCTTTGTTGCAAGAGAATCATTCTCCTTTGAGCATAGGAACTTCTGTGATAATATGTGACCAGTTCCTAGTATATTTGGTGTTTGGTGCAAAATTAGTGAGAGGACTTTTCAGGGTAACTTCATGGTAGTGGCATTTTTATGTGGTTGAACTGTTCTATTGTCCACACTCTGGACATCTGCTTCCGTTGTGCTCTTCCAAATATACCACTAACTAATGTGAAAGAGGAAGTTAAAAAGAGAATTTCTTTATTAAATTTTGAGACTTCTTGTGTGTGGGTTTTTCATCGTCTGTTTTTTTATCTTTACTAAAATATATGCCTCTCAAACGTGTCAGATCACACAGCACAAGTGGGCATGGCCATTTATGCAACCAGTAGATGTTGAAGGACTTGGGTTGCATGATTATTATCAGGTAAATCATCGTGCTTAACTTGTCCCTCTTTTGTGCTTTTCTACATGTGGAAAGTAGTGCATATGATGTGATAAAGACCCATTTCTTTCTTTCATGCCCATTTAAACTATTACTAGAAAAATAAAAGTCAGAGAATAGAACATAAAACATAAGCTCGTGATGGTAATATGACATCATCCTACTCCTTGTACAATAATTATACTGCTCATTGCTATGTAAGAAAGCATGGAAGTGTATCTTTTATTAAATTTGCACAGATGTACTTCTATTCCATCTTCCAATGCATGAAGTTCTAGATATTTACCCACGCTGAACATTTTTTCTCTGGTCTCTTTTTTGTCTTCTATGGTTTTGATAATCATGTCTTGAAGGTTCAATTGTGGACTTGGATTGATTTGTCATGGGCAATGTATATCAGATAATTGACAGGCCCATGGACTTCAGTACAATAAAAAACCAAATGGAGGCCATGGATGGGACTGGGTATAAGCATGTCCGGGAGATATGCTCTGATGTGCGCCTGGTTTTTAAAAATGCAATGAAGTACAACGATGAAAAGAGTGATGTTCATGTAATGGCCAAAACCTTATTGGAGAAATTTGAGGAGAAGTGGCTGCAGTTTTTGCCAAAAGTTATGGAAGAGGTAATTACAATTTCCAAATCTTACAGCTTGGCAGCTTGCACCATTGTTAATGATTACAGTATGGGTATTTATGCTGAGGATGTCATATCCACATGCACATGCACTCTTTTCTATTTCGTAATCTTCTTCCTGAGTACTAGCAATTCAGGCAAAAGCCTCTCTTTTTCTCGATGGACAATCTGGTCTGGATCATATGTGGAAAGACCTTTATGGTCATTAGCCCTACCTTTTGGCCTTTGCCAGAAATTTCCACCTTCTTTAGTGCCCCCACAAAGTAATTCTCACGTCAAATATTTTGAATAGCTGTTGACTTCAACATCTTGTTCTTGCAGGAAAAAAAACGAGAAGGGGAAGAAGCAGAAGCACGTTTTAATGTGCAGCTCGCCCAGGAGGCAGTCCACATGAAACTGGCCAGGGATATAAACAACGAGGTGCAACAAAATTTAGTAGTTTTGGTGGTGAAACTATGAGGGAAAAAAAATATTTAGTTGTTCGTACCCTTGAGCATTCCATGGGGAATTTTCGAATATTATCCCTTTTTTTTCTTTTGAAATGTTACTGCCGTAAATGAGTTGATAATCTGTCTTGTGTTTTTTACAGCTTTGTGAGGTTGATATGCACATTGAAGAACTCAGGGAGATGATTGTTAAAAGATGCAGGTTAGTGCTAATGCAATAACTACACAGTTCAATTTTGTCACTGTTTTCATGTTTTGGTTTAATCTCTTAGAAGAATATATTTCGGAAGTAATGAATTTTCCTTAGTCCTCCGTCTGTTCTGCCTACTCCATTTCCCCTCTACTTTAACCAACACAAGCACTGTCATTAACACATTTTAAAGACCTTATGTTCTTCTTGCCTAGTTGAATAGACTGGTATTGACCTTTATTTCAAGCTTTTTTGTTTTGAGTCTTTACGTAAATATTTTTGTTCTATACATTTCTTGAACACGTACATATTCACTCACATGTGTAGTTGTGGAGGAATAATGTATAGTGATGAACATGCTTAGGGCCAGTCATAGGAACTGACAGATTTTTGGTTCATTTGTTTAACGACAATTGAAAATGGAGTATGGTCTTGTTAAGACCTCTGTTGCCAAGGGAAACCAGCGAGCATGATCAAGGATAGCGAAGAAATTAAATACGAAAATAACAGAAAACAACAAGGCAAGCTCAATAAATTTCTGTGTTGGAATAATTCTGTAATGACATCAAGTGCAGACTTCTATTCTCACTAAAGTTGGAATTATACTGAAATGTAAATGACAATAAAGAAATGGATAATTGGACTTTAAAGAGGTCCAGGCTCTCTCCAGTGTTCCTGATTTTTCCAGGCCCCCATCATCTCCTTCTTTCTCTGCTTATATGCTAGCCGCTAACCGATTCTGTTGTGAGCACATGCTGGTTGTTTATTCTTTCCTGCCCTTCCTTTTCTGTCCCTGCCCTCCCCTTGTGTATTTGGTGTTTTATTTGGATAGGTGGCCTATCATTACTCCCTCCCACGATACTCACCTTGTCCTCAAAGTGGAAATCTGGAAATTGTTGTTTCAATAACTCATACGTTTCCCAGGTAGCCTCTAAGGGTGGTAAATCCTTCCATTGGACAAAGGCTTCAATATCTCTGATGTTGCTTCCTTTTCTGGTCTGACCCCTAAAACTGCCTCTAGTTCGACTACCATTTCTAGCTCCTCATTCAAATGGTTCGGAATGTCTATCACCACCTGTGGATGGATGAATATGACAGTTAGCTGGTAGAAAGTTTATATGCCACCATTCCGACCCTCTTCTCAACCATATAAGGTCCATAGAATCTAGCTTTTTATTTGAGCGAGCTAATAATGTTTTGCTACAGTAAGGCCGTATCTTAAGATAAACCTGGTCCTCGACATTGAACTGGACGTTTCTCCTCTTACTATCTGTTGTCTTTTTCATGTACGACTGAGCAAGGAGTAGTTGCGCTCTTAGTTCTTCCAACATCTCATCCCTTTCTATCGGTTGGTACTCCACCTTCGAAATTGGATTTGAACCCTTCTCAAACCAGACCAACGGGGCTCCCTCCCATACAAAATTTGAAATGCAGTAATTTTAGATGAGGTGTGGTATGAGGTATTATACCAAAGATCAGCCCCGGTAACCAACTGACCCACGACTTTGGTTTGGACGAAGCAAAGCAGCGAAGATACGTTTCCACAGTACGATTTACCACCTCTGAATGTCCATCTGACTATAGATGATATGCGGTGCTCCAACATAATTTTGTGCCCAGCAGCCTAAACAATTCTTCCTAGAACCTGCTCATGAAGATTTTATCTTTGTCTGATACAATGGGGTGCGGTATCCCATGGAGCCTAACAAGCTCTTTCACAAAAAAGTTCCTGCTATCCCGGCAGCTGAAAAAGGATACTTCAATGCTATAAAATTTTCGTACTTAATCAGCCTATCTACTACCACCACCAGTATTGAATCCCAGCCTCCAGACTTTGGCAACCCCTCTACAAAATTTATGGCAATATCCTCCCATACTTGGTTTAGTATTGCTAGTGGTTGTAACAGCCCATGTGGAGATAGCGCTTCATACTTATTCTGTTGACAAATGGAACAATTTTTGACATATTGATGGATATCTTTCTTCATGCCAACCAACACACATTCGAATTGATTCTCTTATACATCTTCAAGAACCCGAAGTAACCTCCCTGGCTGCCATCATGACCCTAAGACATCACCAAAGGTATTAAAGTCGAACCCTTGGGTAACATCAACCTCCCTTTAGACAATAACCGTCCTTCACAGATTGAGTAATCCGGCCAATCTGAAGAAATCTGTTCGAATCCTTCAACAATTTTCTACAATGTGTTATCCTCAGCCACTTCTTTCGCCAACACTTCCAATTGTTCTATCCCAGGCAACGACAAAGCCATCAACTTCGGAGAGTGATGAACTCACGATAGGGCATTGGCTGCTTTATTTTCCAAGCTTGGTTTATATTGAATTTGTAGTTGGAACCCCATGAGTTTCATTATCCACTTTTGATACTTAACCTCTGCTCCAATAAAAATTTGGAACTTCTTTGGTGGTCATAATAATCAAATGACGGCCTAAGAGATAATGTCTCCATTTCTGCACCGCGAAAACTATAGCCATGAGTTCCCTCATAAACTGATTTTCCCGTGCTCTTCGAATTCAATGCATGACTAAAAAAGGTGATGGGACGTTGATCTTGCATCAACACCGCTCCCAACCTGTAACCAGAAGCATTTGTTTCCACAAAGAAAGTTTTAGTAAAGCCTAGTCGACTCGAAACTGGCAGTGTTATCATCTTCTCCTTTAGCTCCTAAAAAACTTTCTCCATGACCTCATCCCAATAAAAGTTATTCTTCTTTAACCTCTCCATTAGCTGCCAAGCGAGTTTTCCATGATCTTCCATGAACCGTCTATAGTACCCCATCAATCTCAAGAAGCTGTGAAGCTCTCGGAGGGATCCCGAAATTGGCCATCCACCATTTCCTGAAGTTTAACTTTGTCAGCCGCCACCCTCTATTGTGAGATAATGTGCCCTAGATATTCTATCTCTTGTTGATCAAATATGCATTTCTTCCCATTTGGGTAGAGTTGTGGCTCCTTTAGTATTTTTAAAACCCACCTCAAATGCTCCCGATATTCTTCTATGTCCCGAACTGTAAATAAGAATGGCATTAAAAAAAAAATATATATATATATATTAATATGGATCTCCTTAACTGTTCTTTAAATATATTGTTCATCAAGGTCTAAAAAGTGGCTGGAGCGTTTGTTAAACCGAAGGGCATAACCAAAAACTCATAATGCCCTTCGCGAGTACGGAAGGCTGATTTAGGGATGTCCTCCGTTGCCACGCGAATTTGATGGTATCCTTGCCTTTAAATATAGCTTAGAGAAAACGATAGCGCCATGCAATTCGTCCAACAGCTCTTCTATTATCGGAATTGGGAACTTTAGGCGCCTTTACTTTATTTAGTACTTGATAATCCGCACAAAACCTCCACCCTCTGTCTGGCTTAACCAACAACACAAGGCTGAAGAGGGCTCATACTATGTCTAATTATGCCTGCAGTTGACATTTCCTTAGCTAACTTCTCAATCTCAAAATTTTTTTACTGTAAGGGTAGCGATACGGCCTGATGCTTACCGGCTTAGCCTTAGGCTAAGGTACAATTGTATGGTCTCTGCCTTGACATGGTGGTCAATCCGCACAAAACCTCCACCCTCTATCTGGCTTAACCAACAACACAAGGCTGAAGAGGGCTCATACTATGTCTAATTATGCCTGCAGTTGACATTTCCTTAGCTAACTTCTCAATCTCAAAATTTTTTTACTATAAGGGTAGCGATACGGCCTGATGCTTACCGGCTTAGCCTTAGGCTAAGGTACAATTGTATGGTCTCTGCCTTGACATGGTGGTAATCCCCACGGTTCTTGGAAAGTTTCCTCAAATTCCATCAATAATGTTTCTAACTCTTTCGGCTTCTTTGTCTGCCTTTCAATCCCTTCATTTACTTCGATCGATTAGCTCCCTAGTGCCAACAAAATTCCCTCTCCATTTTCCTAGAACACCTTCATCATTGTCTTCTCTGTAGTACGAACACTTCAAGTAGGGTTGGTGTCTGAGCGTGTCGACACCGACACTCTTTTGACACTCTACCATAAGCATTTTTTTTAATTAAAAATATTAAGTATTTTTAACTCAAAATTATTAGTAAATAACAAATAGGTATCATATCTAAAAGATTTCAACAAGAAAAAGTAACAAGAAGTGTAAAACTAAATTTATATTATATGAATGAAGAATTTTAAAGAATTTAATCAACTTGTCGACAACGTATCATGTCAGTATTTTATGAAAAATTGCGTGTACGTGTCGAACATTCGTGTTTATGTCGGTGCTTCATAGATTGTATTTAAGCTAACTAGTGTTTTACTCAAACTAGAATTGCCTTGTAGAGTAATTGTTGTGTCCCCAACTTGAAACCTCATCGTTAATGATTTCCAGTCAACAGTCATTTCCCCCGACAAAGACAACCATGTCATGCCTAGAATCATGTCTGAACTGCCCAACTCCAAAGGAAGAAAATTGTCGACAACCTCTAAATTTTGGAGATGGATAACAACTCCTTTACAAATACAAGCACCTTGCACCACAAACTCCATCCCCATAATTACACCGTAGCCCGAAGTTTCAGTTTAGTGAATTTCCAACTGTTGTACCAATTCAGCTGAGATAAAATTATGGGTGGTGCCGCAATTTACCAAACCCCCGCCTCTGGTACTCCAATTTGTCCTTTGACCTTCATAGTTTGAGGCAAAGTCAACCCCACCACTGAATTGATAGATAATTCAACAGCTTCCTCCATTTTTCCCGGCACTGCCTCTTCCTCCTCTTCTGGCAGTGTTTCTTCTTCCTCCTCGACCACCTCCGACTCATCTTCCCCACAAATCAACATTACCTGCAACTCTTGTTTTTACACCCATGTCCAGTTGAAATTTTTCGTCACACCGGAAACACAACCGTTTTTCTCTTTTGAATTGCAACTCTGCCTCACTCAATTGCTTGAAGGTGGAATTTTCACCCTTCCCTTCTGCCGGTAGAGACGAAGCCGTAGATGGGTTGAATTTGGGAAAATGATTTGAGGTTACATGATTTGGATTGGTAGGGGAATATGTTCTAGAAGGTATAATTTGGGATTTTGGGCTATTGTTGTTGAATTGGGCTGATCAATTCTGGGCAAAATGGGTTCTAGATTTATTTCGTACTGGGCCATTCCCTTCCCTTGCTTTTGGCCCAACAGATTTTTTCTCATCTATTCGTTGGGCCATATCCATGAGTTCCTCCAGCCCATTTGGCCTTAACACCCTGATTTTAGCCTGCACGTCTGATTTTAATCCATTCACAAACTTTCCTTCCAGCAGCCCTTCTGAGATTTCTGTTAGCAGCTCCGCTAGGGACTCAAACCACTGTCTATATTCTCTCACCGAGCCCTCCTATGGGAGAGCTAGGAATCTCTCCTCCCCCATTTTTCCATGTGTCGCACGAAACCTGCTCAACACCAACCCCTTCAACTCTTCCCAGTCCTGGATCTTCTTTCTCCGTTGTTGCCATTGATACCAGGATAGAGCTTCACCTTCGAAACAAAAAGCGGCAGCCTCCATTTTCTCCAATTCAGAAATTTGAGTAAGGCTAGAGTATCTTTGAGCTTTGAATACCCACCCTTCTGGATTCTCTCCTTCAAATACTGGAATCTCCAACCTCCTATTCCTATATTCAGGGCGCCACAAAACTCCCAGTTGCTCTCTATGTGGGTCTCCGTCCCCAGGGTGTTACTGTTGAGTTCCCAGTGGACTCTGAAGCAGGAGCCTCTTTTGGGCTTTTCTTTTTCCGTTCTCTTTCTTGATCATCCCAGCAGTACATCACGAGTTTGAACTGCTCCATCATCAAGCTTATGTTCCCTATGCTATGAATCCGCTGCATTTCAGATTTCATTGCTTCTATCCCAGCCTGAATAGTTTCCATTTTCCCTTCCATTTCCCCCACTATAGGTGAGCGGCATTCTAGGAACTTGCTCTGATACCAAAATGTTAATACCCTGTTGCCAAGGCAAGCCAGCAGGCAGGATCAAGGATATCAAAGCAATTAAAATAAGAAAATAACAGAAAACAGCAAGGCAAGCTCAATATATTTCTGTATTGGAATAATTCAATAATGACATCAAGTGCAGAATTCTATTTTCACTGAAGTTGGAATTATACTGAAATGTAAATGACAATAAAATTAGGGATAATTGGACTTTCGAGAGGTCCAGGCTCTCCCTAGTGTTCCTGATTTTTCCAGACCCCCCATCATCTCCTCCTTTCTCTGCTTACATGATAGCCACTAACTGGTTCTGTCGTGAGCGCATGCTGGTTGTTTATTCTTTCCTGCCCCTGCCCTTTGTGTCTTTGGTATTTAATTTGGATAGTTGGGCCTATTAGGGCTCCATAAGGAATTTGATGGGTTGTTTACTTGTTTCTCTCTGCTGCAAATGTTACTTTGTTTGCAACTGGTGTTGTTTCTCTTATCTTCACATCTTGTCATTCAATGGTATTTATGAAAGCATTGCTCCAGACGTATATCTATTATGGAGAAAAGGAAACTTGGGATTGATCTCACCAAATTATGTCCTGGAGATCTTAGCAAGGCACTAGAGATAATAGCTCAAAATAACCCCAGCTTCCCATCGACAGCTGAAAACGTGGAGCTTGACATTAATGCACAGGTTCCTATAAACATTGTACTGTGTCATTATGTTATATTCACTTTTGGCACATCTTGGTGAAATGATTTTATAAAAAGTGCAGAGTGAATCAACACTGTGGAGGTTGAAGTTTTTTGTGAAGGATGCATTAAAAGACGAGCACAAGAATTCAAACAAAGACGATGATGATAATATCACCACCAAGAACGCTGCTATCGCCCAAAATGATGGCACTGCCTCCAAACGCAAAAAAGAGATATGTGATGCCGTTGCCAAGGTTGCCAAGCGTCGGAATAAGAAGCTTGGTTAATATATATGCTATAGATGTAGTTGGCATGTAGCAGGACAATGTTTTCTTGCACCTCAGGGTATTAACGCTGATAGGAGTAAAATGAAAATGAGGACCTTGCAAATCCTAGTGTTCTGATCATTGAGAAGTTGGCCAGCTTTTAAGCCCCAGTTTGCCAACTTACTACCCTAGACCCGGATGAATTAGCTAGTAGTGCTATGTGTACAAAGTTGCCTAAATTTGAATTTCCTTTCGGAGAAGTTATGGTTGGGGTTCCCGACTCGTGCATAACGTAGCTCCTGGGTTTCATTCTATATTTCTTGGCATCTCTGTCTCCGACGTATAATCTTTTACTAGTCAAATTGACTAATGGTGATCCAAATGTTATAAAATTGAAAGGTCGGAGACTTGGATACCGAAGAACATAGGTCCAAATTTCCTCATTTTTACTTAGTTTACTGCTTTCTGCCCAATTCCGTAAATGATATCGTTATTTGATATTGATGATGTTGCTTGCTTTTTGGGGGTGGTGATTATCAACAACTTGAGATCTTTAAAATTATATATTTCAAAGAAATATGGTTTATATTGGATGATAACTTTTGAAACGAAGGCAATAGTAAATTAGTGCTATAATTAAAGGTAAATGAAGCAAGGCGCTAAGAGAGAGATATAATGGATAAGGTTAAGTGCTTGTTTGAACCTCCATTTTTTGTTAAGAATGTATTTTGGAATAGTGGATTGATGGAGAATGTATGGTTAAAAAATAAGAAAAAAAATTGGGTTTATGTATAATATTATTTTATTGAAGAATGCGTGGTTGAAAAGAAGAGAGAAAAATGTATTTTGAAAGTTATGTTCCAATTGATTTATTCAATAAATGTTAAGATGTCGAGAAGGTTACATGCGAGACGTAATGTGTATTTTGTAATGAAATAATTCAAATTGATATATTCTAAGCTTATTGAGTGAATATGAAGAAATAGTGGTATTCGTTGGATATTAAGTTCAAATCAAAATAGCAAATGGAGGAATTATTCTAATTGATTTCTTTAACTACTAAATTGAATCAAGGACTGGATTTTTTTTCATTTGAAACATCAAATATTTTGCTTTATTTTCTAACACATCAATAGAAACCTTTTATCGAGTCAAGGCTGCTCCTTCATCATGTGACCAAAGGTTATAAGAGACATTGGTGAAAATGAATGGTCCATTAAAGTGACGATAGTTCGAAAGAGTTTAATCAAAATTCATTTCAACAATGCTGAAAATTTTGATATTTTGAGGCTTATCATAATTGATAAGAAGGTACTGCGTCTACTACGATGACTATTTATTTCATAATTACATTATATATGAGAAGTAACATAATATTTGACATCTCTACAAGGATATAAAATTTAAGCTATGTTATTCAATGAAGCAATTAAAAATTTTGATGCTGTGATTGAAAAGGAAAAATCTTATATTATATGAAATGAAAAGTTTAGACATGTTAGTGAAAAATATTGAAATGCAAACGATGAAATCGAATTGTCTTTCACAACTGCAAAGTAGGTAGAAGGGATCACTGAAGGTAAATGTGATAAGATATTGAATTATTTTCTTCAATTCAATGAAGTTCCAAAATTTACTAGCGGAGTTATCGTGATTGGCAATTATACTTTACAATCATGTTCGAAGAGTTTTACTAAGTATTAGTTCTAAAATTCCAAAAACTCTACTTACATTTTATAATCAGCTCCTATTTTATTAATAGCTATCTATTGAAATTAGGAAAACCTACACATCACGTTAATGAAAGTAGTAGTGTAGAAATTCTTGATATCTAAGGTTGTTCACAAGCTAATGAATTATTTTTCGTTCACACGTTCCTCTTTGTTTTCAGATATCATAGGTTGAAAATCAAAGTAAAACTTGCATTCATCATCAACGATAAGAGGCCAAGTGAAAGAAAAATGAAGAATCGGGAAATGATTCTCTTGGAAAGTGGGTAAACATCTTCCATAAAATCAGGAAAAAGGGAAAAAAAAAGCAAATATGAATTTTATAATATTATTTACTAACAACTTTTTTCTTAATATAGGTATAATAAAATGAAATTATATGATGGAGCTACAATGGCGAAAAGAGACAATTGAAGTGTTGACACGACTTTTCAAGATATCGTGAACAATTTTATATCATTTGGGAGTTAAGTAATTGTATTTGAGAAAGGTTTTCCGCCAAGTCCTACCAATTGTCCTGCGAATAACAAGACAATAAACAAAGTTTCAATTACAAACAATAACTCACGTCGGAATATATCTTTCAGAACATGTATTCTCACATGTACAGTTATACGTTACACTTTCGAGAAATTTCTATAACAACTATGAATGTTATAGTCAAGTTAGCTAGGGGCAGATGCAAAAATTTTTATTCATGGGGCACAATCAAATTCTGTACAAATCGAATACTTTGTTATTGATTTTTGAATGATTTATATTGATTCGAGAAAATTTAGATTTACATTTAAAAAATATTTCTTCATTATTATTTTGCTCATAATTTTCATCCATATGATTTTAAACAATTATTTTATTAATATTTTGTTCATCACAAAAAAAAAAAATCATATTTATGCTTAAAAATTATAGTGTATTTAATACCTTAATCAATTCAAATGACCGAAAGGAAAAACATTTAAAGAATATTAAATCAAATAAATAAAATTCGTTAAATATAAGTTAAATTAGATATAATTAATTCAGACACATTCTATGTACACGAATAAGATAAAAGAAAATGCAAATTTAGATTCTAATTAATTGAAAATTTGATTGAAAAGTAAAAATTTGTTCCAGATGTGATAATTTGTAGAAAATTTTTTAAACAAATTTTTAAAAATTAGAAGAGTTAAGGTTTTGGTAAATTGTTTGAAGGAGAATAAAATAGAGTAAGAGAAAATAAAAAAATTCAAATATATTGTGATTTTGCCCCTGTTTGAAGGGGATTAAAAAAATATTTTTAGTAAATTTTGATAAAAGTTAAGAACTTCATAAAAATATCTTATTAAAATTTATTATTAGTTTTGATTTAGATTAAAATTTAAATTTCAATCGATACCTAACAGGACTTATTTAAAAAAAAAATGGTAATATCAAATTTTGGGGGGTCACTTGACCCTGTAAGACCCCCTTGGTCCGCCCCTGAAGTTAGGTATTCCTAATCACACAAAAATATTGTATACGAGTTTTTCATTGAATAAAATGTTCATTCCACTTAAACAATTTGTATTAATTACTTTTTATATTCACAAATTTTTAAATATTATTTTTATAGCACTTATAAAGTATTTTAAAACAATGTGCAATGCACAAACTATGACTAGTAAGAAAAAATAGGAAAAGAATAGTATAAATGTTGCCGACAACATTGATATGCGTAAGACACGAAAACAAGGATCTTGGGCAAGCTATGACATAGAGGTGATATCGGGGCTTAAGTGTCAACATTCTTTTGCCAATTGAAGGGAAGAAAAAAAAAAAAAAAAAAAAAAAAAAGGTCTAACGGGAGATGTTGATACCCTTCAAGATCTCAATATCATGTAAATCAATACCATGTGTAATGGTGTTAAATTCCATATCAACATTAACATTATCACCTATATTGATGCCTATGTCAATAATGTTAGATAAATATCATTTTAATTTGTTTTGTATCTTTTTATGTAAATTCTAAAATCTGGGAAATTAAAAATTCGTTTATTCAGTTAAAACAACGAATAACAGGCAGTCAGAATATCCTGTAACCAATTTTTTCAATAGTTCCAACTGCACCGTGCTGATAGGATCTATGTTCTAACATTTTAATTAATTGTGGAAATTAACTAACATAATAAAACATAAATACTAGATGTAATGTGGTAAACTCCAAAGGGAAATGTCCACGGCCCCATGTTATGTGTCAAATAATCCATTAAATCAAACGATAAAAAATACAGTAATCTTTGTTTTGTAAAATTAATAAAGAACAATCAAAAGCAATCTAAGAGCAACCTCGTTTCCTTCTTCTTTTAACTTGGTGTAGAAGGGAATCAAATCCCCGATCTTGACTTTATTATCACTTCACTATTTTACTCGGTCTCAACCACCACTTGAGCTAAAAATCACCTTTCTTAACTGAGGCCAAGCAGCATGATCTTTGAATAGGATTGTACATTCATGCTCTTAATTATTTTCTTCAAATACGGTTGAAGAAAAACATGCTGGCCATGAGATTAATCAATAAAGCATGTCATCAGTTGACTCACTGGAGAATGGTAGAATCGTTGCTGCTGGTTCACATGATGCGTGTATATTTTCTCAAAGCGGTTAATTCCTTTCTTGATTTCTTTATTTATTTATGTAAAGCAATAAACAAGATTCTAATAAAAACTTACCCAAAATCAGACGTTAGAACACTGTAATTATGAAATCATATCATAGAATCTCTAGGATGGTAAGTGAATGATTCTATTTTTCTAAATTTAGTAATAGAAAATCTCTTCTTATTTTGAGTGATAAAACTCTAAAATTCGCAGCCACAATATTCTATTGAAATAACGTACCATTTAGTTAAGACTGACTGTCTGTTTTCACATTTTTGGCAATTATCCTTAATATTGAAAAAATAAATCTACATTAAGCAAGCCAATAAAAATAATATATAAAAATATGAAAAATATTTTTCCAACAATCTCCCTTTTTTGTCTTAGTTTAATTTCAAACACCAATTTTTGTCTTAGTTAGATCAGGAAGTTTAGAGATCAGGAGGACAGAACCAGAGGCCATCACTACTTTTTTGGTTTATTTACACCAGGTGTCTTGGAATCACAATTGCACCTGTGGGAAGCAGCAGATGCTGAAGCATCCACAGCTTCAGTTTGGCCTGAAGGGAGGTCAGAACTCTACGTCTCTGGTGCAGCACTTGTAGGATTAGTAGTGGCATCTGGCGCAGTAGAAGTTCCTATAGGTTCCTCAGGCTGATACTCTGAAAAGCCTAAGGTACTTTCCAGCAACGTATCCTTGATCCGTCCATCTCCAGGGTATACAAGTTGCTCCAATATCCTGCGAATCACTTTAAAAGCATCAACAAACATTTGAGTTCTCAAGAAATTTTGGCTCATCTCATTCTTGACTACCGTAAGCTGCCCTTCAAATATATCCAGCCCCTCAAAATTCTCCAAAGGTAGCATATGCCTGGTAACTTGGGATTAGATTTGGCGTGACATCCAAATTATCAAATTCAGACACCCCCAGAGTAGGTATGACTGTAGAATTTCTGTCTGTAGGCAGTGCAGGAATACCCAAACTAACTAGATTCAAACTGGGGTTTGGCTGCTTGTTCTACTTTGCTCTCATAGGTCCCTCATACACAATTCTTTCATATATCAACTTAATCAAGTCCAGTCCAACTTTTGTTTCCAATTTGAACAACATTACAGCCCTTTCATAAGACAGGTCAGAACGGTGGGTA